GGGAAGGAAAACGAGATGTAAGCTTGCAGACAGCTTCAACACAAGAACAAAAAAAAATTTATGAGAGATGAAAGTGGACCATATACTTAATAGTAAAGAGCTAACTACTCTATGGTTGAGCTGAGAGATAGGCTATAAAGATCCATACAACCAGCAGTAGGCTGTATTATTAGCATCGCTCTAAGGCTCCAAATACAAAAATATAATTGGAACTCACATACAAACTAGATGAATAAAACACACATGAATAAGTGTTCGGATGACCTGCTGACCTGCTGAGAGAACACACGTACAAGGTTTGAGTGGATGTTTTTTCTCATAGTTTCCAACAAAATCAAACACAGGAGAAAATTCATAAACAATTTGTAAATGACACTACGATAACTCGATCTGTAAGAACGAGAATCCTTTGTTTTTCTCTTGTTCGTATAAATCCAAATTCAAAGTAGTTAGTATGTGTCTATTTCAGAGCTGCGAATCCAAAACGACGAACTTTGTAGAATGGCGAAACATTTCCCGTCCGAAACGGGCCTCAATGTGCCAACCGGCCCAATTCAAAGTGGTCAGGCCATATCACATATACTGGAGGGCCGAAGTGCGAAACAACACTCCGTAGTCTATACATTCCCTTCCCTCCGCCGCCGCCCGCCGCCCGCCGCGTAAACCCCAATTTTAGGGTTTCTCGCTGCGGCGCTGCGCTCCCTTGCCCGCTCCCCGCTTGATCGGCTCTTCCACTACCCTCTCGAAGCTTCCACTGTTCCACATCCCCCACCCATATCAACCCTAGCCCCTCCCGTCTCCTCTTCACCGAGACGCCGCCGCGCGAAGCATTCGCTCAGCCTCCGCAACCATGTCGTCGTTCTGGGGTAAGAATCGTTACAGGGCTACCGATGTTGCTGCCAATTTCCACTGTGCTTGCTCCTGTTGGTCTGACCGGACTATTGCGTGCTTCGCAGGTGTAGAAGTGAAGCCCGGGAAGCCGTACACCCTCACCCACGGCGACTTTATCGGCCGCCTGCGCCTCACCCAGGTCTGCTTCTCCTCAGTGTCTCCTCTTACACTTTGATGGTCAACGGGTTTATTAGGTTTTCTCTTGGAGGCTTATAGTTGTAGCATATATCTAATGTTGCGGCAAATGTGATTTATTTATTTTTGGATTGGCAAATGGCAACGCAGGCGACGCTAGGGGTTGAGGTCGGTAAGGGGGAGAAGGGTACCGGCGTGAAGAGGTGTGTGCTACAGTGCAGTATCGAGAACAAAGATCCCGTTTTCCTTTGCGTCCTCATGCCGGAGCAGTCGGAGACATGCCACCTGGAGCTAGAGTTTGAGGAGGAAGTCACTTTCTCAGTGATTGGGCGGAGGAGCATCCACCTCGCTGGATACTATGTGACGTATCCTTTGCTGTCTTAGCATCAATTTATTATCTTTCTCTGTTGTAGATTGATGTAGGATGGCTTTAGATGATTACCTTTTGTTGTAGTAGATTGCTGCAGGATGTTCTTTGTTCTTGCGTGGGGACTCTGTTTTTCCTTAAATATTTTTGTCAGTGATGTGTGTGGGGAAGATAGGAGTGACAGTGATTCTGGGAGTGATTCTCATGGTTCGGATGAGGATGGTTTCTTGGAGGAGGACGATGATGGTAACATGGTAATGATCCACCAGACAACGACAGGCAGTACACAGATTTTATCCTCTTACACAACTCATGTTAGTATCTACTGACAGGTTATGGGATATTCAGACAGTGAAGATGATGATTCAGAGTCTGATGACGAAGAGATGACAATGGCATACAATCAGGGTAGGGGCAAAAGTTCAGGTAAGGCATTACATTTTGTTCCATTGCCCATTTGCCTTGTCATATGATCTGTGAAAGAATGCCCGTACGAAATCTCTGTGAATGTTACTTATATTTTGTGATGCCTCCCTGATCATTTTTCTGAACCATAGAACATGGTCTACCTCTGATTTTGTTTTTTCCCTTTCATAGAATCACTACCGTTGGTTAATGGTTAGGTATGCTATTTTCCCTTTCTTTGTACCACTGCTGTTAATGTAAGCTTATAGGTTGAAAGTTATGAAGCAGAACAGTTAAACCACAGTCCACAGCTATGATATGAACTGTTAGTGGGAATTGTAACTGCATATATGCCCTTGAATCACTGATGAAAATAAATGTAATATTGGTTTTAAGTTTGGTTAGGGTGTGTAGCAAATAGCATCATGAATAACTGATGAAAATAAATGTATTACGAAAGATGGCTGATGTGTATTATTAATTATCAGTGTGGAACTTCTTGTGAAACTTCTTTGGTTCATTTCATGTGTCATGAACCTTCTTTTAATACACTCTAAAATGTTACAGGACTTGTGCATGCTGTAGTTGCAGGAAGTGTTAGTTATTCTATACCTTTTCACTTTAAGTTCAGTTGGATCGAACACCTCTCATTGGCATTGAAATCACCTCGTTCACATTAAAGTAGTGCATTACCATGTATTCATTTAGATGGAATTGCACTTCTCATTGGCATCGAAATTACCTCATAAAGTCATACACCTTAGGTTGTGGCCAACATTTTTTTAATGGGTTTCCTTACCCTTGATAAATTTTGCAGTTGTTATTGAGGAAATTCAAGAGGATGACAAGGCTGCTGTTGCTGAAGTGCAGAAGGGATCCAAGAAGAAGCAATGCCGTGAAAATGGTGATGAGTCTCAACTTCAGCTTGCTGTAAGAAATCCACTTACTGAATCCTTGGAAAGTGAAGATGAAGATGGTTTTCCTGTATCATTTTCTGAATCAAAGAAGAGTTCTGAGAGCGTTTCAAAAAAGAAAGGGGGTTCTGAGAGTGTTTCAAACAAGAAAGGGGGAAAAGACAAGGAGATTAACAATGAAGACCGGAAAAGAAAAAGTGGAGCCATTAGCGATCTTGGTGACTCTTCAGGGTACATTTTCGCCCCTGGATATTTCTTAATTCATGGCATAGTAACATGCTTCATTATTTTGTAAATTTACTTGTGGTTATAGGGAGGTAAAGGCTGAAATTGATGGGGCATCATCAAAGAAAAAGAAAAAGGCCAAGGACAAAAGCACTGCTATGGACACTGGAAAAGTAAACAACGAAGAAAAGGAGATTAAGCAACACGATTCTCCGGCTGATCCTGTTAGTACAAAACAGAAGAAAAAGAAAAACAAGAACAAAAGTGCTTCTGAGGTTGATGCCAGTGAGCAATCTGCTAAGAACAACAATATGTTAGTATCTTGAGATGTTGCTTTGTAGAGGCTTTTCACATAGGAATGTTATTCACATGGCTCGTTATTGTTTGACATTGTTTCCTTTCATCTAATTTCAGTCATAAAGACAATGAGGAGGCAAGTGCACAGGAGGCTAGTAAAAAGAACAAGAAAAAGAAGGCAGATGACATAAACAGAAGTGAAAGTCAGGCAACAACTGGACTTGGTGAGTCAGATAGCAAGGAGCCACTCCAAACACGAACGTTTGCCAATGGTATGATAATTCAGGAGGTAGAGATGGGCAAACCTGATGGTAAAAAAGCCACCCGTGGGAAGAAGGTAAACATTTTTGGCATCTGAGGAGCTTCAATGGGATGATCTCCTCCTAAATACCCATTTATTATTGCAATTTCCCACTGCCTCCTGCAATTCTAACATTTACATGCTTTTTCCATGACCTGCACGTATTTTTTGCATGGCTATGATAAATTTTACTACTTGAGGCTCTCCTATCTGATGTCCTTAACAATGCTATTTTTTTTTCTTATTAGGTTTCTGTTAGATATATTGGTAAGCTAAAGAATGGCACTATTTTTGACTCCAACGTTAGTGGAAGACCTTTTGAGTTCAGACTAGGTAATTATTTCTTCTTGCTGATGTCATGCTCTCTACCATTACTCCATCTTAGTACCGAGGAATGATTTTAATGATGCGTTGCTTGCAGGTGTTGGGCAGGTTATCAGTGGCTGGGATGTTGGCGTCAATGGTATATACACTATATATTTACCTTCATCTTGTATTGAACACACAGTTATTGATCAGTGCAAATTTCATGCTTTGTGCTTGTTATAACAGGTATGAGGGTTGGGGACAAAAGGAGACTCACCATTCCACCTTCCATGGGGTAAAAATACCTTCGCATTACTTTGTATCAGAAGCCGTTTGAAATCTAGCCCTTATTTGTGGATCCTGATTCTCCTTTGGTAGGTACGGGGGCAAAAGAGTGGGGCAGATACCACAGAACTCTACTCTCATCTTCGATGTGGAGCTGGTGAACGTAAAATGAAGTGAGGACCAGATCACTTGAAGATCCATGAGAAACTGCGGCAGTTTCACAAATTTTGCAGCACAGCATTTTTCTTGGGCAATGCTGTTTAATAGATATAGGGACTTGTTAAGTGGATTCATCTATACCGTTATCGTACTTATGAACCGAGTTTCAAAAAAGAACTTATTAACCGTTGCCACCCGGAATAATTCCAGGGTTGCAACCTTTGCCATCTTACTGCCGATTCGTGTCATTTTGGCATTCTTCTGATGCCCCAGAACTTAATTCGAATGGTTGAAATGGTTGGCTGCACGCCCATCGCTGGAGTTTGTCACGTAGATCATTTTGGATTTTGTTTTCCACTACATTCTCGTCTAAGCCGTTACTGACTTGTGTTGCTTGTGTTCAGGCGAGGAAAAATGTTTGACATTTTTTTGACTTGTTTGGCTTGTTCAGGCGAGAAAAATGTTACATTTTTGATGACTTGTTTGGCTTGTGTTCAGGCGAGAAAAATATTTGACATTTTTTATAAAAAAAAAGGTTAGTATAAATTCCAAACGAGACCGAAATTTTGCTTGGTTCTTGAGAGTTGAGATCAACCCAAACGACTCTTGACGTCTAGCTGTTGGACGCCAGCCGTGGCTGCAAGCGGCGCGCCCGGCGCCCACGCGGCCACAGCCACGGCCCATCGCTTCCCGAGCGCCGAAATCCAAACGCACAATGCCTTCGCCGCCACCGCCTCCCACCGTGTGCGCTCTCCTCCCCTTCTCTCCCCCCTCATGCGCCGGCCACCCTCACCACTCGCGCCTCCCCGCGCGCCGCCGCCTGTGTGTCCGCAGCTCAAGGCCCAGCCCGCCGGGTCTCCCCAAGCCCAGCACTAGCACTAGGCCGCCTCCACCGCCACAGCGCCGCCTGCACAGGGCGGACCGCCGCCTCAGCGCCCTGATCCACCGGGGCGACCTCGACGCGGCGCTCCGCCTCGTGGGCTCCTCGCCGCGCCCGCCCGACGTTCCGCTCGCCAACCGGCTTGTCCGCGACCTCTGCCGGCGGGGCCGCCCCGCCGACGCCGCTCGCGTCGTCGAGGCGTGTGGGCCCGAGGCCACCGCCGCCACCTACGGCGCGCTGGTCGACGGGTACAGCCGCGCGGGCCTGCTCGAGGACGCGCGCCGCGTCGTGGGCGGCATGCCCGCGAACGTGCAGGCCAGCAGCGCGTACGCCTACAACCCGCTCATCCACGCGCTCTGCGAGCGCGGGCGGGTCGCGGACGCCCTCGGGGTGCTCGACGGCATGCTCTGCCGCGGGTGCGCGCCCGACGTGGTCACCTACAACATCCTCCTCGAGGCGGCGTGCAAGGGGAGAGGATACCGGCAGGCCATGGAGCTCATCGACCTCATGCGCGCAGAGGGGTGTGAGCCCAACGTCGTGACGTACAATGTCATCATCGACGCTATGTGCAGAGAAGGTGATGTAGACCAGGCACGCGAGCTTCTCAACAGCCTGCCTTTTAGAGGTTGCAAGCCCAACACTGTCAACTACAACACTGTTTTGAAGGGTTTCTTTAGCATTGAGCGATGGGTGGATGCTGATGAGCTTCTAGACGAGATGGTTCGAGAGAATTGCCCACCAAACGAAGCAACAGTCAATGTGATCGTCAATACCTTGTGTCGGAAAGGATTGCTCCAGAAGGTTACTCGGTATCTAGAGAAAATGTCAAAGCATGGATGCACGGCAAATGTTGTTACTTACAATGCTGTCATCAGTGGGATGTGTGAGCAAGGGCATGTGGATAGTGCCTTGGAGTTACTAAGCAACATGCAATCCTTTGGTTGTAAACCCGATATTGTCACCTACAACACTCTGCTAAAGGGTTTGTGCAGCGCTGATCGGTGGGAGGATGCTGAGGAGCTAATGATTAAGATGTCCCAGAATGATTGCCTCCCAGATAACGTGACATTCAATACTATAATCAGTTTCTGGTGTCAAAAGGGATTGATTTTGCAGGCCTTTGAAGTCTTTAAGCAAATGCCTGAGAAAGGCTGCAATCCTAATTCAACCACTTACAGTACAATAATAGGTGGACTAGCCAAGGCTGGCAAGATGGAACAAGCCCTTGAGTTGTTGAATGAAATGGCCAGCAAAGGATTCAACACAGATAAGATGTACCAGTTGTTAACTGAGAGTCTGAATAAAGAGGATAAAATTGAAGAGGTTGTTCAGGTGGTTCATAAGCTGCAAGATTCAGGCATATCACCTCAGACAGTACTCTACAATACAGTACTGTTAGGGCTTTGCAGAAATGGGAAAACAGATTATGCTATTGATGTGCTTGCTGATATGGTGTCCTGTGGTTGTATGCCTGATGAATTGACCTACATTATACTCATTGAAGGTTTGGCTTATGAGTGCTATTTGAAGGAGGCAACAGAATTGCTAAGCAAGTTGTGCTCAAGAGATGTTCTTTCTAACAGCTTGATCAACAATGAAGCTTTGTTGTTAGATCAAAATATTCTCTCTTCTTGAGTCATGATTTAATTCAAGGGCATGTGTGCACTTTTAACATCATTGTATGTAGTGGTGGAGTTGGTTAGCACTTACACATAGCTTCAATTTTGATTGTAAGTCCTCTTTGCTTTAAAGCATGTTGTAGTGTAGAGCTTAGTTCTCCATCTTTTTTTGTGCTTTCTGTAACAATGTTGTCCAATATCATGCCTGTTTGACTGATTGTAGTTGCAATATTTTATGCATACTTACAGAATGTGAGCACATTGGATTATAAACATGATTTGATGTTTACTTTCTGGATGCATATTTAGCCAACGCACCCTCATATCCAAAAAGATATTGTGGGCTTGCACCTTTATAGTATTATTGGAGTTCCTGGAGTACTTTGTTTAGAAACAGGTGATCCATTTTTTAGTTGTTTGTTATATAATAAAAAACCATAAATGAATATTAGGCCTTTGCCTCTGAGATCAGTATAGTAACTGTTGCTTTGTTTTAGTAGACTAGAAATGTTGGGTCTGGGTCTAATGTGAAATCAATTCCTTAGTTATGATTTGCTTACTTTAGTGTAACAGAAGTGGCATTTAAAGAATCATTACACAATTGGAGCTCAAGTTATTTCTGACGGATGGCCGTGCTTATCTTGTAAGGTGTCCTGGACTCCATGTTTGTTACATTTCAAGATAATCAGCTTTGTAATGTTGTGTTTAGTCTGATGATAATCAAAATGTTGGCTAATGCTGCCTTTGAGTTAGCTAAGTCCTTTGAATTGGAGCAAATTTCACCTTATGCCAATTATATTAACCTCTGGCTCCTAAGTGAAAATATAGTACTGCTGCATATTTTCTCGGACACTACTACTGCATATTTACATGCTGGTGGCCTTGTTTTCTGTTGCTGCAGTAGGAGTTTAGACATATGGCAGCTAATATGCTTTGGAAAGAAGTTGTATAAGAAACAATGCTATCAATATTGCATTAGCAGATAGTCTCTAATTTCTCTGTTATGGCCATTGCATGAGTCCATATATTTTCTTCTACTTGCATGGATGGTAGCAAATTATGAGCCAACCTTACTTAGTTACTTTGCTACATTTTTATCTTACAGCCTAGACTGGTTAGGTTAGCAGGTCATATATATCATTTGAAACCTCTTGTTTTGCTATGGTGTAATTCCTGAATTGTGCAGTCTTGCACGACTACAGAAAGCTCTCCAGCCTGGATACCTTGGAGGACTGAAATTGGGGTATGCGCGATCACCTTTTACTTATCTACATGTTGCTCATTGTATGGAAGATTATCTTCCTTTGATCAATTTTTTGGTGTGTACAGTCAACACGTTTTAGTTGATTTCCGCGCGGGTGGGGGTGGGGGTGGGGGGTGTTAATCCTTCAAAGATAACTGAAGTTCTTTTGAACAATGCTGGTTAGTTTATTTTAATTTCCTTAGACTTCTGTTGTAGTGGTACCTGCTTAAGTGGTGAAAGGTTGTGCTGCTGCACTTGACTATTCGGGTTACCATCTAAGCTTTCAAACTTTTTTACTCTTAAGTACAATCTTAAAAATTACCCCCCTATAGATTTAGCATTTTTTTAGTGCCTTGCACCCACAGAGGCTAAGGTAGCAGCATAGCCTCACTTATGGGCCTTAAATCTTGGAACATGCTTAAAGCGTTGGATTGATGTGTGTTCTTCTCATCTTCTGTGTGTAGCAGTTGTCTAAATTCAAAACCAAGTTAGGCTGAACAACACCAAATTTCTGAACTTATGTTGCCTTTGCAGTTTACCTCTACGGAACTCCTGTGTCCTGTGGCATCATTACCAGTTCATAGCAAGTTCTTGGGCCTGAAGACCCTCTGGGCTTCTGTTTGGAAGGTAAACTCATGTTTGGGCTGCGTCATGTCAAGTCGATTCTACTCAATCAGTCCACTGCCCCAACGACAACATAAGTGACATGATACTATCAGTGTTTCTGGTTGTCGGTAAAGCTGCGTAACCACCACCGCCGACATGATTCTGAGAGGTGAAAGGTTCGGGCCAGCGTATCATAACAGTACACCTTCGGTCCTTTTTTTTTTGTCTAATTCGTTACTTTGCTGGTCTAGGGATGGATCGTATCTGCTAGTCTACATTTTTTCCCCGCAAAGCAGCTGAGATGTTGGACTGAACGAGCATACTCCTACGACATTGCAAGTTCTGTGTGGTTGTTCGTCGTTCTGAACCCAGCTGTTCATACTGCAAGAGCAGTTTCAGCTTCTGGCTGGCTGCTTATCTATGTGCTGCGCATCGCCACACCACACGGGACCAAGACCAACCGACCGACCAGGTGAGCAAGAACAGCCAGGCAAAATTTATTATAAAACTATAATAGGACAAGAATTTGACCCAAAATCACTCTACGAGCCTCTTTGGCAGGGCTCCTGCAGGGGCTTCAGCTCCGGCTCCTGCAGGAGCTGTGCCAAACGCCTGTTTTGAAAAGGGCTCCGCATGGGGAGCCGGTTAAAAGAGCCGGAGCCATTTTTTACCTGCACAGGAGAAGCCTTAAAAACGAGTTTCGTGCGGCTCCTTACTGTGGGAGCCGTTTTGCCAAACGTTTTCCAGAACGGCTTCAGCTCCTCCAGAGGAGCTGCTCCTTCCGAGGAGCCAGAACCGGAGCCATTTTCAGAGAAGCCAGAGCCCTGGCAAACAGACCTACCAGTGCTTCATCTATATGATATGTAAAACTATAATCATGACGAACATTTTTTACCGTGTGTTTTATGGCATCAATTTTGTGCGATAAAAATGTACTAGTATAGTAGAATAATTGCTGGTCAAAAGGTTTGAACAAGAAAAATACTCGTAAGCACTGTAGTTTGAAACGGATGAGTATCATACAGTATATCGGAGCCCCCTTGCCAATCATGCCGTAAAGTTCCGTCTCGTCCGTTTCCCACCCAAAGGCAAAAGCCAGATCGCATCGCATCCGCCCGGCGCCGTGGCCGGAGCTCCCCCTCGCCCCCGGTCTCGTCGACAAACCGCTGCCCTGCCGCTCGGTCAAGGTAGCCAAGTTGCGGGGCGTGTTTGGTGTTGTCAATCTCGGCGTCAACACGGACCTGCCCTCGGCCGTTTCACACTCTCCGCCCACAGCTGCGTGGACTCTAGGCACCGGGGCCGTACCAGCTGACCTGCGTGCGGCTGCTGTGGACTGCCGTCGCGGTTTCAGACCCTGGAGCGGGCGAGTGAGGTAGTAGCACCGCCGCCCGCCGGCCGGTCTCCGCTCCTGGTCCTCCGTTGGTCATGACGTGTCCCGTTTGACCGCACCAAGCCAACGGCGGTGGTAGCTCAACACGAGACCCATGTGAAAAGACCCAAATCTAAAACGGGTCTCCAACATAATATCTACAGGAGTACCTATATAAAAAGACTCATTTTGGGTATTAGGTGAGGTATAATCTAAATCTGAGTATCTCTCCTGGAGACCCATTTGCAGAAAAGATTCTCTTTTAGGTCTCGTTGTTGGAGAAAACAAAAATAGATATTGAACTCTTTACCTATAACGCTACCAAACATAAAATAAGTCTTGTATTTTAGGTAACGGTCATTAGAGACTGGAACCAGTAGTAGTAGGAAGACCCGTCAAGTGCACACTAGGACGTTCTTTCCGGCCTGTCGGCGTCGCGTGCGTTTTCGGTTGCGACGCGAACGCGAGGCTGTTGCTGTTGCTGTTGCTGTTGCTGTTGCTGTTGTTCACCCAGTAGCGTTGACCGTTCCAACCGTCAATAGTGAATAGTCACAGGCATGCAAGTACGTATGTAGCAGCGGCGACTGACTAGCAGCAAGGACCTGGGCCTCCCCGGAAGGAAAAGAAGGCTGGAAACTTTGTTACTGCGCGCGTCGTTTCACTCTGTCCGTGTGTCCTCAATAGCCAGTTACCGGAATCTTTTGTTTGTTTGTTTTTTCAATCACATCATTCATCCTGGACTGCAGTAATAGTAGCATCTTGCGGCTCGCGAGTTTACCGTGGGCCGTGGGCATGGGTGTTGCCGCGAGGTTTCGTGGTTGATCTTAATTACGTGCCCCGTCACAACTCACAACCTAAGCCGGTGGTCACGCCTTTCTGGTGTGCCGTCCGTCCGTGCGTGCGTGCGTGCCTTTGACCCCCAAGTGCCCTACACTTTTCCACGGTAACAACAAAGGCACGTACTAGCTACTTCACTTGCTATTGGCCTAGCCATCCCAGCTACCTAAAACTCTCAGTGATTGAGACCTGAAAGCACCTGGTTTTGCTCTCTAACATTATGTACACTGGTCTAATCTTCTAGAGTGCACGGTAAAGAAATGCCCCCGGCCGACGACGGCCCTGAATCCCTGATCAAAGTGACAGTGATCCGTTTTTTTTTGACGTTAAAAGTGACAGTGATCCGTTGTGCAGAGATGGCATCGCATTCGCACCAGATTCTGCCGCACCCAGAGCGAAATTCCCCCTGCTGACCGGATCCACATCCACGAAGGCGCTGGTGGCCGGAGGGCCGAGGCCCACCGGATGCATGGGAACACTTGGACGACCCAACAGGCCGCCGCAAGCCCACAAGCACGAGGCACGCATGCATCCCCCGCGCGGCCTCTCGTTCCTCCGGCACGCCGCACGCCCCGCTGCCGGTCAAGCTCCGACCACCCCTCGTGCGGTGCTCGTTAACATCCGGCCAGCAGCGTCCCTTTCGGCACCGTGCGCGCATCACGCATGGGAGCGTAGTGTTCCTGTGGGTCATTGCGCTTGTGTTCGCTTTCGGCACAGTGACTGCTCTTGTAAGTAGCACTCACGTCACGTAGGCAGCAATCCACGAGAGGCCGCAAGCCCGCAGCCAGCATCGTCGGCCCCATCGTATCGCGCGCGCGACTGCGACGGCGACGGACCGAAGAAGCATATACGTACTACCCGTCGCCGGTCGAGAGGAGGATGGCAGCGAGGAGTACGTACGAGTACGACCCGGCGTGCTGGAGCCAGCCGCAGCCGCACGAAGCGTTGTCTACGTGTGCGT